AAGAAGGCTGAGATGAGTGGCAAGAAGAAGAAGAGCGCTGTCGCCGAGGATCTGTTTGGCGATGATGGAGACGACGACAGTGACGACGCCGTTCCAACCCGGCATGCCGACGATTTTGCGGACTTTTTCTAGATACACTTGTTTACTCAGCCAGGAGCCACTGTGCTTGCTAAACTAAAAACAAAAACGCTCTTTATTTCATAGTTGCGTATGCTTATCGAATATCGTACAGCCGGACCGTAGAGTTTGTCAGGGTTGCCAGAGTGGTCTTTTGGTTACCCGTATCCGACAGCCCCCACTGGCACCCTTTGATGTCGACCACGTACTCGGTGGCCGGAACATCGCTCAGCGAAACGAGCTCTTTGGCCTGCGCAGCACTACCGTCCCACACTTTGATCTGGCGCGACCTCTCGATGCCAGCACACATCAGAGACTGCCAGCGGTTGTACGGTGGCTCTGCGTAGTAGGAAAAGATTGTCGACCGTGTCATTTTGCTCTGCCACGACTCGACATTGATCTGATGGCGCCGATTCCATGACACCTGGTTGTCTTTGCCGAATTCGACATCAAACATCTCGTGTATTGTCTCTTGCCGCCGTGACGACCCGCCAGGCGACCTAAACGATGCAGCGGCCAAACTCTGCCGCGGATCAAACGACACCGAGTAGCATGGATTGTTGTGTGCTTCGCTATCAGTCAGGCGTATCCACTCGTTTGAGGTCTTTGCAGTACTGGAATCAGCAAGGCCAAGCTTGAATTCAGGGGTAGGCAGCGAGTATACGTGCAGCGAATTCGCCACCAGCAACCGACTGCACCGGGACGACGGTACGACGGCAATGCTGTGGATCGGCGAGCATCCAGTGATGATTTTACCATTCGAATTCACCGCTGGCCTCAGCAGGCGGGCTCCACTGGCTGGGCCATCCCAAACATGAACCGCCAAACTGGGCTTGCGTATGTCAAACATCTGGACAAGACCCTTGGCAGTTCCAACATAACACATATTTGGATCGATCGGATCCCACGCACACGACCACCCGCGCTCGCCCAGCTTAAACCGATTGGCCACCATGGGCGGCGATCTGCTTCCACCGACTCCCGACCCTAAGCTTGTCAGGGCAGCCGTGTGGTCCATGCTCGCCGTCAGCAGATACCGCACACCTGACATATGTGGACTGACTTCTGCGCCGCGGATTTCTTCGCTGTGCAGTGGCTGCATGAAGAAGGGCGGTGCTGCCGGGTCATGCACATTGATCTGTGCCATTGTATGCTTGCGTGTCTTGGCATTGGAATGGCTCACATAGAGTACTGGCTCATGTGGATGAAACGCCAGCAGACGTGCCGAGTCTCCGGATCTCTTTGCAATTGGCACTGTTGCAGCCAGCCGCATCCGTGGCAAATAAAAGCTCTGCATCTGTGGGCGTGGGTGTGGATGTAGTAGCGGTGTAGGAGCACCCTTTGTGTCGTTGTCGGTGGCTCCTGGTGAACTGGGAATGGCGGCACCGAAATCAATGTCGATATCGCCGATATTAAAGTCCAGCTGGCTATCATCAGCCCGCGCCGGAATGTTGCCGAGACTGGCCGCACGCACCGCTAGCTTTTCTCCATTAGCCAGCGTGCTCTCCTCCATGCTGACTGCCTGTGGCAAACTCGGCTTTGGTTCGCTGGCTGGCCTACAGGTGAGAGTCTCTGCCAGGTGCTTCTCGAGGTTCTCCTTCTCCATCAAGATCCATTGCTTCTGCTGTACAGCCTCATCGAGTTGGTTGCGCAGCTTCTGGACCTCATTGAACATACGGTGGTACTCGAATTGGTAGTGGGAGGCGTCACCCTCGAGCTTAGCACACTTGTCTTGCAGCTGCTTAATCTCTGCACGCGCATTCTCCAGCTTTTCGCCATCGACCGCTGTAATAGCCGTGGCCACTAGCTTACGGATATCCTTGACTGCTGCCTTTTGCTTGCAAAACAGGGCACCCTGCTTTGTCCTTGCTGTAGCCACTCTGGCGTCCTCGGCCGCTAGGACCGCGCACGATCCATCGTTTAATGCAGCTGTAACCAAACAGATGTCCGCACTTCAGCGACACCAGCTGATGGCTGCCGCGATGCGTCCAGCGCTCGTAGCAGATTATACATGTGTTGCTCTCCTCAGCTTCAATATCGTCAGCAGCTGCAACAACGTCGTCTAGTTGGGGCGTGGCAGTGCCGCTGTCAGTGCACATATCCCCGATTGAGCTCGCTGCGGACATGGACGCACGGTGTAGCGCTGGCCGTGCATATGCTCTCTCAGCCAACGAATGCGGTGGAATTGGTGGCCTGGCAAAGTCGTCGTCATCTTCGTCGCTGTGGTCTGGATGTTCCTCCTGTCCATGTGCTGCTGGTTCGCCAGCATCACCCGAGGGATCGTGGACCAATACCACTGGGCTGCTTTCGACCTGCACCGCTTCTGTGCTCACTTGGTCCTCATTCAAACGAGCCCTAGGCAACTGGAAATCGTCAGTCGTTTGCGCATTGCCAGGCGCATCAGTCGTCTGGCGCGGAAAGAACCTCGATTGCTGACTGCCAGTGAAGGCTGGGCTCAGTCCTTCTGGACGTACACATATCCGCTTGGGCTGCCAGGCAACATCAGTTAGCTGTGTATCTTCCCTACCTTCCGAGCTACCGGAGCGCTGGCGGCCGAGCACTGGAGGCTGCTGCCGCTGAGCTTGGCTTTCCAGCTCGCTAGCGCGTAGTGTGCTGGTGCCAGCCTGGTTTGTGGGCTGCTCTGCTGATTCGGTGATAATGCCCTCCGCTCCTGTGCCTGCTGCCGAGTCGCTGCGCGCTAGCTGGTTCAGCGGCTCCTGCTCTGGCTGTTCTGCAGACTGCGCCTGCTGCTGCGGGCCAAGTTCTGGTGTCAGCCGCAGAACCTGAGAAAGGGTCGGCGGGCTAGACGATAGTTCTGTAGCAAGCTGCGCATTTCGCGTTCGTGTTTGCGACATTACGTAAAGCAGCGCATTCGAAGTGAGCGAGAGTAAGAAAAAGACAGCAAAGACGCAACAAAGCAGAGCAGAGTGACGAGAAAATTCTGCACCAATGCAGGGAGGCCTAAATGGGGCCACCGCGATGAAGACAGCCTCCGCCGCCCTTGGCGCTTAGCACGGTGCTGATCAACACCAGCAAAAAGCTGGACTGCGCACGCACTTTTTGTCGGTGTCCTTGCCAGGAATCCTGGGCAATACGTGGCAATTGTCAGCTGTTGGGCGCAGTACGAGCTTGTTATTTGCAAGAAGCGGCTGCAAGGATTCCTAAACCTCAACCACGCTGGGTGTCCAAAGACTCCAGGTTACACCTTGTACCCGATGTCCTTTGCATAGTCCCTGGCATAGGATTTGAATCGACTGTACACCTTTCCGACACAGGCCTTGAGCACAGGAGCTAGAGACGCACGGTATCGCGAAGGATACTGCTTCTGCTGTTTACTGGTGAGAAGCGGGTGCTGTGGATCCAGGGGGTCAAATTTATCGAGTATTTCGAACCCAGACTGCTGAATCTTTGCGCAGAAATCTTTTACATAGTCGCTAACGACTATAAACTCGCGTGTCTGGAAGGGGAGGGTGTGCGAGAAGATGACCTTTTCGGCATCAACGCCGAGGGAAGCAAGCTTCTTCTTCATTGTCATGTTCTGTGCTTTCTCCAGCCCTTTAGTATACACACGTCGAACGCCATGCTTGTAGTCGCTGCGACATGGTCGGGACAGGTCCAGCTTTGCTGGTGGCAGTACTGGCATCTCCTGCTTGTGAGATTCAGGAGGCAGCGGATATGTGAAAGGCTGGGCAATTAATAACGATGGTTGCTGCTGCTGCGCAGCAAGCAGATCATTGAGCTGCTCCTGCAAGTGCAGCGCCAGCGACACAAGCTCGTTGTTCCAGCCGCTCAATTTCGCTGCTGACTCGCCCATGTCCTGGCCAGGGAACAGCGCTGGCTCCAGCTTTGACGACTGCCCCAGCTGTACAGACACATGTGCTGGCGCGTTATCTTGCGTGTTGTGCTTCCTCGCCCCGTTGCTGAGTGTGGAAGGTAGCATTTCAGAATGTGAGCTATGCAAAGAATTTTTTTACAAGTGGAGCCAAGAAAGCCAAGAAAGCCAAAAAAAAAAAAAACAGTGGGGCTGGCCCGGCTGTGGCGTAATTAGCCAAGCTGAAAGCCCTGGATTCAGCAGAGCTTGATATCAAATTCGCTGGCATAGTCCTGAAGGAATGCCTGGAACCGCCTTTCCTGGCAATCTCTATATGACTGGCGTAGGCTCTGCAGGTACAGAGACCGGAACCGGCTCTGCTCGTCGACTGACAGCGACAGATGCGTGGGACGCAGAGGCGTGAAGGACCGAATGGTCACGATTTTTTTCTCATGTAGCCAGTCCACAAACTGTCTCACGTAGTCCTTGTCGACGAAGAACTCGCAAATGTCAGAGCAGACCCTGTGCCAAAAGACGACCTTGTAGCGCTGATCTGGTCTGAACAGGCCACGGGTGTACACGCGTCGGATCCGGTGCTTAAAGTCACTAGTGCAACTAGCACTGGCCCTTGGCGCTCTGGCGGGCTCTGACGTGGAGTAGCTATGCGCAATGTTCCGAGACAGGGGTTTTGATGATGCTGGCGACTCGCTCCTCCGTGCTCTCGATGAACGGCCCCCGTGTGGCCCTGGCGACTGGCTCATCGGCCATGTTGAAGATGGGCTCTTCGCTCGCCTTTGTGGCAGCCTGTGAGGCTCCCTCGTCGCCTCTGACGCAAGCTGGTCAGCAGAAAACCTCGCCACTCTCTGCTGGAGCTGCAACACGATACTTGCAAGCTGATCGTTCCAGGTGCCCAGCCTTCTCATTGTGTCGGCGTTTCCTGAGACTATTGCAGGGGTACTGTTGGTGGCCTCCGAGCCCCCCTCATTCTGGTTTCGGGAATGTGCTGCCATGGAAGCTGTATTATTGGCGAAAAGGAGCGGAGAAGAGAATAGTGTGCTGGCAGCTGCATTCCTCACGGCTGTATATCATCAAACGGGAGCTCCAAGCCAATGTCCCGCGCATAGGCGTGGATATAGCGTCGGAAGTCGCGGTGGCTGCTTTTAGAGTAGCTGCTCAGGAGGCGCTTCGCATAGCGGCTCCTCATCCACTGGTTCACCTTCCGCCACTCGCCATCGGAGTCGCGGAACATCAGTGGGTCAAATCCATCGAGTATGATTTTGCCGCGTTTGCGCAGTCGCCGCACGAGCCGCGGCGCATCGTGGTTGGTGGTGATAAGCTCGCACACATCTGAGGTGCAAAAGTAGAAGTGGTAGACATCGAGGTCGTCGATGTCATAGTGGCTGAGAAATTCGCGTGACTGCTCGGGCTTGTATTCCACCAGGCCCTTGACATACACGCGCCAGACGTAGTGCTTTTGCTCTGTCTTCGACTGCCAAGGCATCGTGTGTCTGCATTCGTGGCCGTTTTTCTGTGCAGAATGGACTGGGGATGTATGGGAACCATGTGTCAAAGCTGCGCTGCTGGCTGACTTTATGGTTATTCCGACGGGCTTGGTTTCAGGCTTTGACGCTATTTTATGCTGAGGTGACTCCGCAGGCTTGGGTGTAGGTGTACTTATCGGTGACATTTTGACTGCCGGCGTTGACGCCATCACCAGCACAGGCTTCGACACAGGCGTTAGGGCTGGTGCCGCCGGGAAGCCCAGTGGTGCCGGATTCGCAGAAACGCTCGATGCCATGATGGGCATCTGCAGGGCTAGAATCCGCTTCTGCAGCTGCTCCCGTTCCATGCTGGCAAGCTTGTCTTGCGACAACATTAAGACCGATACTAGCTCGCGGTTATACTCACTCATCCGCACCAGTCCGTCCATGTCTTCTATAGGCATTGTTGGTAGAATGGGCACACTTATTGGCTCAATTACAACCTGCTGCGTCCGAACGCACTGACTCGAACCAGCACCCAGCTTCGCTCGCTTTGCGCTGGGCTCGCCATATTGCGTGGATTCTGTCACTTCTTTGAATACTGGTCGATAAACCGTCAATACAGATGGAGTGGCTGGGGGTCCCGTTGCAGGCGTTGCCATGACAGCTGGGGGTGTGGCTAACTGTGCTGGCTCTGAATAGGGTTGCTGCCTAAGCTGCTGCCCACGCTGCTGCTGCTGCTGGTATGTCTCGTACGGGAATTGCTGCTCCTGCTCCTGCTGCTGCTCCTGCTGCTGCTCCTGCTCCTGCTCCTGCTGCTGCTGGTGCTGGTGCTGGTGCTGGTGCTGGTGCTGGTGCTGGTGCTGGTGCTGCTGCTGGTACTGCTGCTGTACAGGAGATAGAGCCGATGAAGTTGACAAGTACATCGGACTCGTCGTCAGGTTCGCTGTGGACGCATTGAACGGAAGCATAATTAGGAAATGAAAAGTGCAATTTTGTGGAGGTGAAAAGGTGTCAAAAAAGTCACTACAAAATCTGCACGATAGTACCCCAGATAAATTTGAGCGCGGTACATTTCAGTGCTGCCGATCACACTGCACCGGCCACTATCAGCACACGATGCTCGTGCATGCCGTCGTGCACCTATTTTCTGCACTTGTCGGTTGACGCACACCTGGATGTGCACGTATTCCTTATGCATTTCACCTGAAATGATGAAACGCCGAACTGCTGAGCTTTTGCAAGTGGAGTGTGAGGAAGGTTCAAGAGATCAAAGATATTCAGAACCAGCACTTTAGGATTCCACACCAGCCCACTGATAAACATTTGCATATAGCTGATGTTGACTACAAACTCGTTGGCAGTAAACGCAGTATGAGTCCCTCGGCAGCTGGATGACTCGGAAGTCTCATATATGGAGCTACTATCCTCTTTAGCCTGCTCAATGACAGGTCCTCGGTATTCCTTGGTGTCTGTTCTCCCTTCCACAATACCACACTGCCATGGCATTTCGGTGTATATGCGACATCACTAGCCTATGAAATGTGGAAAACACCATGCAGCTACCCACCTTGCGAAGACAAAATGGCAGTATGAAGGCCTCTTATTTATAGAATCAATTGTAAGATACAGATATGGCAGTCGGTTCTACGCTGCTGCTCAAATACCAATCTCCTTTAAATAGTCCAGTGCGTACTCGATGAAGCCCCGTCTTGCCGTAATGGCTGTGTCGTATCTCCCTTTCACACAGTTGCGGTACAGTATTGGAAACGATTGCCGCTGTTCATACGATAGCCCCCGGTGATCTGGATTCAGCGGATCGAAAAACCGGAGTACTGCTACGCCCTCGATCCTGTCTAGCGCTCTACATAGTGTCGGCACATACTTGACTCTGACAATAAACTCATTGACCGTATAGGCGATATGGTGCGAGTACATGACACAGGTAGAATCAATCCCGTGGTCTGCCAAGTACTGGCGCATGGAGGTGCCTCTGGGTCGCATCAGACCCATCGTGTATATACGGCGGACTCGATGCTTATAGTCACTCTCGCATGTCGTCGAGCGCAGCCCTGATTTTGTTACTACCACTCTTGTTTTCGCCAGTGGACTAGCTGTTTCTGTCACTCGGCTGCCGAGTCGTTGCGAGATCGGAATATGCCGCGATGAATCGTCTGAAGGGGATGCTGCAGGAGAAGTAGTAGTCGAGCTATCTGGATCGCTTTGCGCCAAAGTACCGATAGTCTCGCTGGCCAACCCTGGTGGTGCCACATACAGCTGCAATACTCGTGTGGAAATGGGCTGGCTCTCGGTTGGCTCAGGGGCTGCAGACATATCGTCGATTCTATTCTGGAAGCTGCATACTAGACTCATCAGCTGCTCATTCCATTGAGAGATATAGCCCATGCTCATACTTGTATCGGCATTAAGCATATGCGTTATAGCGCCCGAAACTTCTTGCAGTGAGACAGAATACTGCGTGGGTTGCTCCGTCCTCTGTCGTTTTGCATTCCTGCCCTGGCTAGCATCGCATGGGGCTGAAAGGTCTGTATGCTGAGTGCCAAGGACCATGGTAAATGCGAGAAAAATAAAAGGATAGTCATATGCGCTGTTTTGGTGAGGGGGTATAGAGAATGGATATCTTCACACCGATTGCATAAGACTTATGGCCAACCGCCGCTCCATATGCGGCCCTCTAGATAGATTAGCTGGCGGGCTAGTGCCCACTCGACCTACAACTTCGCTGGTGCTTCTACTTTGAGTGTATTTGCCAAAGCCCTCCAGCAGACGCGCCGTGGGTGGCTGCAGCTTCAAACATGCACTCAGACGTCTATCCCGATTTCCCGTGTATAAGAACGTGCGTAGTCACCGAATCCAATTCTGGATGAGTAGGTAGGAGAGAACGTTGCCCTTAGCCTCTTCTTGTATGTTCCCGGAAAAGCCTGTTTTTGTTCATACGATAATTCCGAATGCATGGGTCTCAGTGGGTCAAAGAATTTGAGGACCTTTACGCCGTCAGCCCTGCCTAACTCTCTGCATAACGCCTGCACTGAGTCGACTTTAACTATGAGTTCATTGACCGTGTACGCAACATGGTGCGAGAACACGATACCAGCCGGATCGATACCAATTCCCGCCAAGTACTGACGGAGTGAGCAGTTCTTTGGCTTCATTAGACCCATCGTGTACACCCGACGAAGGCCGTGCTCTCTATCGCTTTTGCATGTAGTTGAGCGTCGCCCAGACTTTGTCGTAAACACGCCAGTAATACTCCTTGTCAGTGACGCATGGCCAGTCGCTAATTGCAATTCGGCCGTGTAACCAAGCCGTTGCGAGATCGGAATGCGCGGCGCTTTATCTGACAAGTACGATTCGTCTGAATCGGATTTATACCGCTGATCTGGCTCGTAGCCGCTTGAAAACTGCTTGGTTTCATGTGATTCAGCCAGTGCCAATGTGCTGGTGCAGCTGCTCGCTTGCTCTCTTGAAATATGTGGCTGCGAGATTATTGTAGCTGTAGGTTGCTGCTCAATCGGCCCAGGCGCTGCTGAGAGAGCACTGATACGCTCCTGGACGTTACAAATCAGGCTGGCCAGCTGTTCGTTCCACTGCGAAATATGGCCGATGTTTGCCGATGTGTCCAAGTTCAGGACCTGCATGACAGCCCCCGGTGTTTCTTGCAGCGAAACTGCATACCGCACCGGCTCATCTTCTCTGACACGCTTAGTGCTGCTACTCTGACCGCTGCTGTCTGAGACAGATAGAAACGAATGCTGGCTATCGAATGGCATTGATACAACAAAAGAACCAAAATGGTTGAGAATGAATAATGAAAAAAGGATGACTTGTCATAATCACACCTGAGCCTGTTTGACCGAATTTATGGCACATACGATTTTGTTGTCCAAAAGTGTCCGTCCGCCCGCTAGAGCGCTCCTGAGTGGTTGAAGGGACATACGCTTCTCTAGGCTTCATCATGGGAATGCATGGGTCGCCCTGCAAGCACACAATACTTGCTGTCTCTACACAAGCACTCTCTCGCACACGCACATGAAGCAATTCTCTCGTACACGTTTGTTAGAAAAGCAAGCTGCAGATTCTGACGTCATTGTGTATATACACCCTGCTCTGCACTATCACGAGTGGGACAATATTAACAATATATGCCACATACATTAACAGTATTCTATTTGAGTACAAATGAACCAAAGATGAGATTAGTGTGAGAGGTAGTCATATACAACCATATCCCACCAAATACCTCAAGCTCTTATCAGAGTTTGTCTTGTGACAACGCGCCGGCAGGCTGCATGCCAAGGTCCCGGACATAGGCTTGTTGCCCCTCCGATTCAGCATGGTTTGCAGTAATTAACTCGGCTTTGCAACAGCCTAAGGGTTCCTCCTTCATTCCTTCATCTAACATCATTAAGTGCTGACATACGTTGTGGAAAGGTGTTTGCAAACATATCTAAACAGTTGCAGAGGGCTGTCCTCTGGGTAGTTCGTACGCGAGATACAGCAAATTGTATCAATTAAGTGTGGCAGCTCTTCAATATTGCATAGCAGCATCGACTTGATGGCGCTCAGTTGAAGGCTCCTGTAGTATCTCGTATGAAATGTACCTAGCAAACAACCTGCAGTAGTTCTTAATATAGTGGCTTTCCGAGCACCTTTCCATGAAGTATATTGCAATGTATGATAACATGATATATGAAATAAGGAGGGAGGAATCTTGAGGTGACTAGCCGTAAAATATGCTTATATAGGTGGGTAGCGCCCAAACAGAGGCGTACAGGGGTCACTGTTGGCCATGAGTTAGAGAATGTATCTTCCAGAAGTGGCCATGGTGTTGTTGAGAGCCACGGCTCCGATTTCCACCATATACTCTTGCGCGTATCTCTCAAACGTTCCCCTCAGCATGTGTGGATTCCCAAACGTGGCCCTAATGCTCTCTTTGTATATGCCTGGAAAATCATCTAGTTGCGCCAATGAAAGTACATAGTGTGGTAGGACATTCGGTTCCAAGGGTTTAAACCCCTTCAGATGCAATACGCTATTCAATTTGGATAGCTCGTTGGTTAGCCTTTGCGTGTGCTGGCAATGAACAAATAGTTCAGTTACTTGATAGGCGATGTAGTGTGAAAATATGATGCCCGTTGGGTCAACACCGTAGCTGTTGCTGAGGCAAGCCCGCATCGAGATATTTGGGGGCTTCATGAGCCCATAGATATAGACACGTCTGATATTGTGAACGAAGTCACTTTTGCATACAACTGAGTGTTTTCTGTGCCTTTTCAAGTTGTCGGCTGTGTATGCCCTGCTATGAGTTGGTTTAATTATTCTGGGGCCCAGCCGCTGTGAAATCGGGATACGCGGCTTTCGCTTGTCAGAGACACTTGGCTCCTTTGGAAAGTCTGACACATAAATGACAGGAATGTCCGAAGTGTTTGAGAGCGTGGCTGGTATCACATTACTCCTGGATTCACTCCGTGACTCCACCAGCGTAAGGGATGGAGAAATAGCAGAATATTCAGGATGGATGTGGGTTGCCTCGGTTGCAGTGCGCTCACTCAAATAGCCCTGGGCATTGGAAACAAGGCTGGAAAGCTGCTCATTCCATTGCGAAATTTGGTCCACACTCGCAGCAGCGTCGCCATGAACCGTCGTTGCAACAGCACCCGTTTTGCTCTTCAGAGAGACTGAGTAGTGTGCTGGGTTCCCATTTCTCTGTCGCTTCATACCGCTGCTTAGATTGTCCTGGTGAGAGGCATACACAAAAGGCTGCTTGCTAACAAAAGACATGTTTGATTGAATTAGAAAGTTAATGGAAAAGGACAAGTGGCCAACATGCCTCACTCTCTTTTACCGTTAGCGCTGCGTGCCCTTATTCAAGCCAGCGAGCTGCAGCCAGACATGCCAGAAACACACTGTGACAAGACTTGGGTCGAGCTACACATGTCAGAAACAATGCTCAATAAGTACAATAATAGATATCGACATCCCACAGTCGCCTAGCTCCCCGACTGATTGGCTGGCAGGCTGAGATTGACATCTCGCGCATATCTGTCGACGTAATGTTTAAAGTCTCGATCGTGGCACTTGGCGAGGCTAGCAGCCAGCTGCTTTGTGTACTGCGCCCGGACAAGCTCAGTGTCCTCTGCTTTCCCCACATCCCGAAGCGGGCCATACCCGTCCAAAATTGCCTTGTTCAGCTTGCGTAGCCTCTTAACAAGCTTGTAGGCATCACGGTCAGCTACAATAAACTCACAGGTGCCTGATGGAGAAAAGTACACGTGGAATATGTCAAGGTCGCCGATGTCATAATGCGCCAGGAAATTTCCTTCGTGCTTCGACCCGTACTCGCGCAGGCCCTTGGCATAGATGCGCCACATGCAGTACTTCTCCTCGGCCGCACTTTGCTTGGGCATGCCATACTTGAGTGTGCGTACATTCTTTCTGACCACACGCGCGCGTGACCTGGACGGTGCAGCTAGAGTCACATGGCTTTG